ATATTCCTTGTCTTTTTTAAGTGGCTCCTTCATAGATAAAGCTAAATACTATTTTGATAGTGACTTTTTCTTTTCTTCCAGCAGTGATCCTGACACTGATTTACTCAAGTAACTTAAAATTCAGATGAGGAGACATGAGTCATCCACATAACACACGGAAGAAAAAAAATGCAAAATGACAATTGAGTATTTAACCTTAAGTCTGATGAGACTTGTAGGGACAGAGATCACAGTGTGTTGCCCAAAATCAACGCTCAGGGTTTCTAAGAAACAGGTACTGTCCTGGGTGCTGAAGTATGTATATACAAGTACTTTCCAAGAATAAGAAGGTCTCCAATTTGAGGGCACTATTCAACAGAAATTAGACACTATCTGCTCTTATTTATTTTAGAGGGGCTTATGCCTAAAGGTTTTCCTCCCCAAAATGCCAAAATAGCAAAGTAATACAAAGAGTTATGTGACTTCCTTCAGGTATAAAAATAAAGCTAACAAAATAGAAAGGAGATAAATGAAACAAATCTTTAATATGATTTTGCTTAAAAGTCCTCTTGGACAAGGCAGTTCTTTAATTGTAACTTAGAGGCACTTTTACTCATGGATTTAAACTTCCTATAATTATATCATACTATTTACAAACAATGCATTTTTACAATTCGCATCCCATTCCATTTCATTGTCTCTATTATACTGATTTAGAAAATCTCACTGCAGAGCAGATGGAGTTTTCAACACATGTTGTTTTATATCACAAACACTTAAAAATATAGCCTAAACACAAACCATTCACTGAAAACTAACACATATATGATCATAGTGTTTAGATTAACATTTCTGAAAAGTAAGCTGAATTTATCCATTTGAGTTTATCAATTTACATAGGATTTCCTGATCATGTTACTAACCTGTAGTTTGTGGGTTGACTTTTCCCCTTACTGTTTGTATCTTACTATCAACTTTTTTGAAAGTATTGTCTATGATCAAAACCTCTTGCTTCCCATTTATACTTCTATCCCACTGAAATCTTGCTTACGGTACCACCAATTGACTGATTTTGCTCTTATCAAATTCTGATAGCAAATCCAACAGCAACTTTGGAATCCTTAGCTGTTTTGACCTTGGACTTAGCATCATTGTTTACCCTATCTTCCTCTGGATTCCATGACTGCATCTCTAATTTATTTTCCTTTTATCTGTCACAGTTCAGTTTTACTGGGATTTAGTAAGAATTCAGTAACTATTTGTTGAATCAATTAATGGGCAAATGTGACTTCCTGTGCCTATGAAAAGGCACAAGTGAATATAGGCATTTCACATTGTTCTTACCAAATAACAAAAAATTAATAGTCCCAGTTTGTTGACAAGGATATTGTTTATCTTGAATTTTTTAAATCTCATTTCTTTATTCTTGTCATTCTTAGAGTTCAATGCAAAAACTCTTTCTTCTATAAAACCCCTCTATATTCCCCCAACCCATCAGAATTAACTCTACTTATGCATAGATTTAATATGATGACACATAGGTCTATTAGAAGACACTTGCTTCTTGGAAGGAAAGCGATGATATACCTAGACAACATATTAAAAAGCAAAGACATCAGTTTGCCAACAAAGGTCTGTATAGTCAAAGCTACAGTCTTTCCAGCAGTCATGTATGGATGTGATTTTATGGACCATAAAAAAGGCTGAGCGCTGAAGAATTGATGCTTTCGAACTGCGGTGCTGGAGAAGACTCTAGAGAGTGCCTTGCACAGCAAGGAGATCAGACCAGTCAATCCATAAGGAAATCAACCTTGAACATTCATTGGAAGGACTGATGCTGAAGCTGGAACTCCAATGCTTCGGCCACCTAACACAAAGACCTGACTCATTGGAAAAGACACTGATGCTGGGAAAGACTGAAGGGAAAAGAAGAGGGAGGGAGAGGATGAGGTGGTTGGATAGCATCACTGATTTAATAGACATGAACCTGGGCAAACTCTGGGATATAGTGAGGGACAGGGAGACCTGCTGTGCTGCAGTCCATGGGGTCACAAAGAGTTGGACATGACTTAGTAACTGAACAACAATAGTTGTATTTCTATTTTACCATGCTCCAGATGGTTCATTATATAATAGCTATTTACAGCCTTTCACTTCACTAAGTTGGAAATATCCAAACCATAGAATCTCATATTCCTCATGATATTGCTCTCAGATAATGCCTAACAGATATATGTGCTCAATAACTGTTGAACTGAATTTCAAAGAAGGATTACTTTAAAGTATGAGATTCTAAATTATATTTGTAAATCGTGTAGGCATATTCATTCCATTATTCTATATGTTCAAATAATAGAACTTAAGTCATTTTTTGTTTCTATTTAATAGTTTCAATACTTTATAGAAGCTTTCAAATTTGTAAACTTGGCAACTGTGAACTCTACCTTTTTAAACAAAACATTGGTCTAATATTTTATTTAGTTAAATGTGTCAATTTATATGAATAAGATTTGAGGTGCTTTGTGTATATTATATTTAAAATGCTTCATTTTTAGCACAAAGTTCTATTTTTCTTCTGAACTTCACCAGCTCTTTAAAACACATTATATTTTATTTGCTTTTACTTTACTTAGGAATTGAATAATACTAGACATGGAAACAACTGCACTTTTAAAAGACTTTTAAAGACTCCACTTAAGTGATGGTGGTTGGAAGCAACAGCCACACTCACACATTGGTTTGGCCTTAAAGAATTAAGCCCTAAAAAATTAATGCACTTAAAATTTGCCTTTAAACATTTTATTATCTTTAATGTGACTCTTCTAAACTGTTTTTTCCTGTACTTATAGAAGGTATATTTCAAGTTTTAAAAAAGTAAGTGGAAAAGGTGCATGTTACTTCCTGGGTTTCCCACACACACTAATTCATATTGTAGTTGATTTCTGCAAAGTAATAAAAAGACATTTCCACAGTAGAGTATCATGCACATACTATTAAAAATCATGCATGCTCAGTTTCCAGTCGTGTCAGACTCTTTGCAACCCCACGGACTGCAGCCCACCAGGCTCCTCTGTCCATGGGATTCTCCAGGCAAGAATACTGGAGTGGGTTGCCATTTCCTCCTCCAGGGGATCTTCTCAACCCAGGGATCAAACCAGTGCCTTCTGCACGGCAGGCAGATTCTTCACCTGAGAAGTCCCCATTAAAGATCATATACATTCCTAATAGAAAGTACTGTCTTTTCATGAGTATATTGAAGGGAAAAGAGAAGGTCTGGATTCTGGGAGCTGATGGCACATTGGACAAGTAAAATGATAGTTCAGTTCAATCGCTCAGTTGTGTCCGACTGAGTAATGGTAAGTTATATTATATTTTTACTAAGGTCCATGTGGGACTCTTGAAGCATAGATTGGGGATGGCAGGCAAAATGTTGAAGGAAAACTCAATGACATCTGAATTCCTTAAATCCCTCTGCCAGACCTTGATACAGATTTCCTCGGTAGGGTCCTTTCTTTTGGAAACGAAGCAAGAGTTGAGGTAAGTCCAGGGACAGTAGGGTGCAGAGTCTGGTTGATGAAACAGACCAGGGAAATCTAACGCCTTATGTCCATAATGTGTATCATCCTTCCGAGAACAGTGAGAGGCCTTCCCAGGAGGAAGCGGTGGCTTTGAAGACACGCATTCAAGCGCCAGCTCTGCCCTGTGAAGCTGAGTTCTTGCCCAAGTTACCTATCCTCCCTGAGTCTTGGTTTCTTCAGTAAGTAATACACTAGGATTGTACGAAATAACTCACACAGTATATCTGAAATTTTCTAGTATACATAGAACATATGACCAAAGGTGTAACTTTAATTTGAATGGCAAAAGCCATAATTTTCCCATTTCCCTGTTTTTTGGAAAGTGTCAGACCTACTTTGCAGTCTTGAAAGTTTTTGTTACCCATTGGTCCTGCCTTTACCCAACACATTGTTCAGTTTCAGCCCCAGTATATAGGTTTCTATTCTCTAATTAAGAAAGTAACTCTATTTCTCAAATAATGGTCTTTGATTTACCTCCTTACAGTTTCCTCAAATATGTAATTCAGTAAAGTACATGAAGCTTTCCCTAAAAGATAGAGGCCTAAATCATCTTGATCAATGGTCAATTCAAGACATTGTACATTAAGTTTACTCCCAGTTGATTCAAAATTTCTTCTGTGCAAAGGGTCCTATTTTGTCACCCAGTGAGCATACCAGCACAGTGTGAAGCACCAGTGTTCCCACTAAATTATTCCTCTTCTGCTGAGTCAAGTGTTCCTTCTGAATGTCTGCTCACTGTGTCTGCTACCACTGTTTATTTACTGGTGATCCAACCAGAAGGCGAAGAATCATTCCTGACTTCTTCAACTCATTTCATCCATTTAAACATTAAGATCTACGTATATGACTGCCTCATCAAATTTAGAATCTTCTTTCCTTTTATTGCTTAACCCTAGTCCTATTGCCCATTCTCTCTCGATAGAACATAGGAAAATTCTTCTGGTTGTTCAATGGTTCATTTTGCTATTCAATTCCAGCTTTACACTGTAGCTAAAATGATCTATTTATGAGGAAGATATAATCTTGGTACTTCATTGCTTGAAAAGCTGTATAAGTTTCCCCATTTAATAGTGGAAAAATAATTGAAATCCCAGATTATTTTTAGGGTTACTACCTCTTGATTCTTGGTGACTTCCTTTTTCTCAAAGGTTATGCCTCAATAATACCATGCATAAGATCTATTTAACCTGAACAATATCTGTGTGTATTTATATAATACATATATATATATATATGTGTGTGTGTCTTAAACATGGAAACATGTAAATCATAACCAGTCAAAATATGAGCAAATACAAAGATATGAAAGCATGAAGGCAATTTTGAGAGGAAATAAGAAGAAATAGTGTTCTAAGTATTGCTCCAGAATGAACAGATTTTTCTTATAGATTATACAAAAATATGTCATTTGTATGCTTTTGAAACTAAATTTATTCAACTCACCTTCATATAACCAGTCAGCAATTCCATTAAAAATAATTCCTTCTTTTCCAGAAGATGTCAGTCGCAATGAACTACTCTTTATATCAGGTTGATAGTAGATATTATTTTCAAAAATGTAAATCTGGATCAGGAAACATGCAAATAAACCAAAAATATTAGGAAACCTTTTTTTTTCACTTTCATATAGCAGAATATTAGCTGAATAACTATTTCGTTACTTATCTGCTTTTAATTTGTTTTTATTTAATGCATATTTTTTCATTGCTTTCACTTATTAATGGCTGTTTCTTTCCCTATCATATCAATACCCAGTTATGATTTAGAAATTACATGGTACTAAGTATTGAAGCTTCTAGATCCACATTTTCAACAACAATGTTTCATCTACTTAATAATCTTTTTCTCATAGCACAAAATTGATTTAGGTTTGAGGTAATATTTTGCTTACTTGAGAGACTAATCACATAGTCATGTCTGATTCTTTACGATCCCATAGACTGTAGCCTGCCAGGCTCCTCTGTCCACGGAATTCTCTAGGCAAGAGTACTGGAGTGGATTTTCATTTCCTTCTCTGGGGGATCTTCCCTACCCAGGGATGAAAGCTGGGTCTCCTGCATTGCAGGCAGATTCTTTACCAACTGAGCTACTAGGGAAGCTACTATTTTGCATACTTAATAGATTGATCCTGGAGAAGGAAATGGCAACCCACTCCAGTACTCTTGCCTGGAGAATTTCATGAACAGAGGAGCCTGGCAGGCTGCAGTCCATGGGATTGCAAAGAGTCGGATATGACTGAGTGACTTTCACTTTTTGAAGAGATGGATAACTGTACTAGATACAATTTTGGTAACAGCAAACTTCAAGAAAAACTTCAAGTTGGGGTCTTTTGTCAAAAAATACATGTGATCAAAGAAATAATATTTAGAAAATCTCTCTCATTCTATCCAGTTCAACTCACAGATCCATCGATGAAAGGAAACAATGACAAGATTCCCTCAAATTGGAAAGTGGGACAAACCTCCTTATACTCCATATTTCCCTGATAATTCCTTCTTAAATAGGGAAGCAGTAATAATAACCTTGTGCTTGAGAATTCAGGAAGAGTTTTAATATGAATACATTACAGATTCTTCCAAAACACTGGAAGTCTTTCAATAATATCAACATCATCATTAACAACAGCAGCAGTATCAACAAAGGAACATCAGTAGAAATTAAACAATATCAATTCACGCTTAAATATATGTCTTTACTAGAGATAATTCAGGATAAAATTATCTATAATTCAGTTTAAAATAGTTTTAATGCCAAACATTTCAGACTGTTGGTCTATGTGCTGATATAACTGTCACAGAACTATGTTTCATCCACATGTTTCGGGGAGTAGAATATTGTTCAGTGAAAGGTAAATTGCTATTTAGATTGACATTCTTCTAAGAAGGTGAAAGATGGCCTAGTCCCTATGTGTTCCAGCAGGCTGTAGGATCATTACATGATTATAGATAGGGCAAACAAAAGAACATCTGAAATAATTGTCTAGAGATCCTAGATTTTAATACTTGATGTGCACAATGATGAAGGCAATCTTAATAACCAGAATATTTTATTGATATTCTACTTTGATTCTGGTGAGCAAGCATTTAACAGTAAGTGTATTTAGTTAGGGTTTCCCTGGTGGCTCAGACTTAATCCACCACCACCTGTTGTTTATATTACAACAGGTGAGTATGCCAAGATAACAATAAGAATTGCCGGTGGGGGGAGGGGGGGTGGAAATAATAGATGTAGGAGGTTCATGACATTATACAGGAGACAGGGATCAAGAGCATCCCCATGGAAAAGAAATGCAAAAAAGCAAAATGGTTGCCTGAGGAGGACTTACAAATAACTGTGAAAAGAAGAGAAGCAAAAAGCAAAGGGGAAAAGGAAAGATATTCCCATTTGAATGCAGAGTTCCAAAGAATAGCAAGGAGAGATAAGAAAGCCTTCCTCAGTGATCAATGCAAAGAAATAGAGGAAAACAACAGAATGGGAAAGACTAGAAATCTCTTTAAGAAAATTAGAGATACCAAGGGAACATTTCATGCAAAGATAGGTTAGATAAAGGACAGAAATGGTATGGACCTAAAAGAAGCAGAAGATCTTAAGAAGAGGTGGCAAGAATACACAGAAGAACTGTACAAAAAAGATCTTCATGACCCAGATAATCA